GTTCGGCAGCGGCATCTCATGCATGTGGGCCTCGATGCTGGAGAGGAACCTTGCGCTGACTGTAAGGGTTCCTTTAAGGCTTCCTTTAAGGCTTCCTTTAAGGGTTCCTTTAAGGGTTCTTTAAGGGTTTTAGAAGGGTTTCTTACAGGGTTCCTTTAAAGGTTTGTTAGAGGGCTCCATCAGGCTTTCTTTAAGGACTTAAGGGTTCTAGTAGGCTTTCTCTAAAGGTTTCTTTAAGGGTCTGGGGGTTTAGGGTGTAGGGTCTACTTGGAGAATCATGGGCCTTAGTAAGTAAGGTTGTGTAGTACCTTAAATGCGGCTCTAAGTAACTATATAAGTATAGCTAGCCGAATGGTGACACTAGCTACGAAGTCCCATGTTCTTGTAAGTAGAGCTTGTAAGTTTTATAGGGTTTAGGGTCTACAAGGATGTAGAGTTTACGGGGTTTGCAGCGTAGGGCTAAGTTTGTGACTTCGAGCCGCATTGGTTTCAACGATGTCCCTAGAAACCAAAGGACCCCCAAACCCGAAACCCGCCTTCAACCCCTGATCTGCCCCCCAATTATCCACTAGATCATTCCCACACTTAAGACCCTTGTATAATATAGTGGCCTGCTTGTGCAAGAATAGTGGTAATGATTTTGGCTTCTATAGTAGGCCGATTTAAAGGTACGTACCTTGGGGGGAAAGGTCCTGGACATCCCTAAATGTATAGGAAACCGTCCATGATCCCGAAACCATTACACCCTACCTGTAGTCTCCATTGCAGTTCCTTTTTGGGGATACCCTACAAAATCCTTTATTTATAATTGGTTAAACCCAAAAAAAGAACTACAATGGAGACTATAGGTAAACCTAAACCCCTAAACCCCTTAACCCCTAAACCCTAAACCCGGAACCCTAGACTCCTAAACCCCTAAACCCCTTAACCCCTAAACCCTAAACCCGGAACCCTAGACTCCTAAACCCCTTAACCCCTAAACCCGAAACCCTAGACTCCTAAACACCTAAACCCCGAAACCCCTAAACCCCTTAACCCCTAAACCCTAAACCCGGAACCCTAGATTTTAAACCCCGAAACCCTAAACCCGGAACCCTAGACTCCTAAACACCTAAACCCCGAAACCCTAAACCCTAAACCCTAAACCCCGAAACCCGAAACCCAAAGCCCTAAACCCTAAACCCTAAACCCTAACCCTAGACTCCCAGACTAAGGAATGCTTTCCCCAAACCCCTGGAACTGAAACCCGAACCAGAAAGAGCCCGAAATCTCCCGGTTCCTCAAAATCTCGCGTGTATTTAGGGCTCATTTAAACAATTACCTATGCTATTTTGGGGGGGGGCTCCTTATTAAAAATAATTGTAGTATAATATACCCCAAGACCCTGGTCTAATTATTCAGGCCCCTATATTCGTAAACCCAAGCAGGGAAAGAGCAAACTACCCCAACAGTCTACCAAGAAAATCGACACCCTCGCACAGTCAAACTATACGGCGCCGTAAATGCCCTAACCTAAAACCAACCAACCCTAAGCCCCAGAACCTAAAACCGAACAAGCCCTACCTGGACCCGAAAAAACCTACCTTTTTAGGTTCCTTAACATGATTTTGGGGTTAAGGTAAACCCTACACC